AAATTAGCTCATTTCCAAAGTGGCCAAAGTTTAACTGCAGCTCTTAAATCTCATCTCTTTCAGTCAATTGAAATGGACCACATGGGCCATTTCCAAATTACCCTCCATTCTTTGGAAATCATCCCAGAGGCTTTCCACTTCCCCCCCTGTTGGCTATATGATACATTATGGATTGGATGGGGGGATAAATGTGGCATGCCACCAGGGAGAGAGCTAGATTACTGAGAACAGATCATAGCTCTTTTCTTCCTCTTATTTCACAACCAATAGTTAATATATATGTTTGTCACATTTTCGAAAAACATAAATTATTAAAATGTTTGAATGCTGTAAGCTACCTTTAAAAAATACTGGAAACATCACAGACAGCTTGTTAAAAAGACGGTCCCCTCCAACCCTTGGATTTCAATAACAGGCTTTGACTATCTCTCATTCCCAGGTAACTTTTGGCCAAGAGTAAGATAACAACTCTAAATATGAAAATACTAGCAGGATAATCAAAGTAGAACGTGTGCATGAATGGATATTACACACTAGTTATATGTGTGTTTCAGTGCCTCTAACTTCACTAATTGAAACATTCCTGTGCAACGCTGACCTCCCACAAGTCCTCCTTTATTATTTCTCCATAATGTCAACATTTGGGAGGGTGTTGCAGTGACGGGCCAATCCCACAGCTTTTAGGAGTGCAGTCCCATACCCTAATTGGCCCAGTGGGTTCTGCTGCTGTTTGTAATGAGAGCTGACGTTGGGCACCATTGGGGAAACATGTTTTCGTTTGCAGATCTCATCGGCTTCTCCTTAGGTTTGGGTCTCCCCCTCTGTCCTCTCTGTACAGGATGCCAGAGAGCTCAGGCACTCGCCTGTGTGCGAGGCTGCATGTGTGCACATGAAAAGGGCGGGAGTACAGTCCCAAATCAACAGAGGAAATTAAATATAAATGGGGCATGAAAAATGAAAAGACAGACACAGATTTTAATACTGCGCCACATGCATTTGTATGTACATTTCTCATATAAATGCTGTTTGACATTTAATGGATATACAAGATGTGTCAAATAATGGTTAAATAGCCATTATGTCTTTTTGTGACACTGCTGGTTTGAAAAGGCAACAGCTGTAGTGCTACCAACTTAATTTTTACGACATGCAGTGCAATTTTAAGACAACATTTCCATTGTCAGCAGTTTCGCAGGAAAGAAATGTGGCAACCCATGGCAGATGTTCACAAAGCTGTCTTACTTGTTAGATTGGTTTCCATTGAGGGTTAAAGGACCATACATTGAGAACATTGATGTAAGAGCAGAAAAACAGGTTTCCCTATCGAACCATCTCATCATATGTACATACCACTTATATTCAAGAAGCGCTGAGAGGGGGAAATTGGAGGGAAACCCTTTGTCAGTTATACAGCATGTCCATATGTGAAGGGAATACATTTTAAATATAGAACGTGAATACAGTGCATCAATATTCATAAACTACTTGGACCTGATCGATTACGTGGAAACCATTAACCAGGAACACTCAGCTGCTGAGGTATTGAGCTTAAAGGCGTGGAGGCGGATCTTTTTTTGGTCATGAATCTGCTATGTTAACAGTTTTACATACTGTAGAGGAAACTTCTGTGTAGCATGCAATGGAGTCACCGACTCAGGAAGGAGACACGGGAAGAGTCGGAGCTTTGATGTCAAACCACTGTGATTTATTTGGAGTTACGGCCGGAGGATTCACATCACAAATCCAAGAGTCAGAGGTTCTGACTTCACGGTAGAGTTGCCACGTCAATTCTGGAGAGCCTCTCTCTTGCCAGCCCATCTAACTGGTTTCGCAGAGAGTAAACAACATATTTGAGAAGATAGCCTAAACAGTGTGGGAACACTGAGCTACTTGCGTCGGACACTTATGACCTCGAAGATTTTACCTTGGAGTCCACAAATACAGAGAAGGAAGTGTCCCAGTGTACCCACAACACAGACCATCTGTATCCCAGTATTGACCGGTCACAGAATGGGAACAATAACATTATTGGCTAAGCCGCCTGTGTCCTTAAAGAAGGTAAACAGACATCAAGGTTTGTCCTGTATGTTACAAATTGGCGTCTTATGATAATTATTTCCATAACACATACCACAAGCACAAAGTGAAAACGTATGTTAGAGTTAGCATGACGCATCAGTTAAACCGGTACAGCAGGCTAAGCGAGTTGGGGAAATCATTAGGCTCCATAATGTACTGATATGGCGAAGGTGGGGAGTATCACATGGCGTTGACTGGATTATTGCACTTTTAAGTACATTTAATGTTTCGTAAATTGAATGAATGTTTATGATTTTTCACCCTGATAGCGCTGTGACACTCGGACCAGACTGAAATCTATCCCTAACCCTATAAAGTATTACCAGGAACCTTTCTACAGTCCCTGTACATGAATACCATACATGTCCTTTTCTCTATGCATGTTGCTAGGCTAGCATTAGTATTTAGATCAAAGTCCTTCCTGATAGAGCAGCTGTAACCTCTTTTACTCTTATATTTATGTAAGCTAGCAGTGGTGTTAAAAAAACAGGGATTCGTAAGTGTAAAGGTGACACTTATGTTACATACAATGCACTATACATGAGGCTATGCAGCAGATACTGGCTATACACAACATAACATTCAGTTCTTGTTATAAACCAGAATGAAGATATTTTCCATGCAACAAAAGTTGAAGCTGACCATAACGTTTTATTCATGCTATTCTTTCTTTGAAATGTTCCTCAACATGTCCTCAATCATTTAACCACACAACAGGATTACTGTATGTATCACAATAGTATGATAACTTAAGGAATTAATGCACTGAAGGCATTTAACAATCCTACATCAATTATTAATTAACCATCCATTCATAATAAAAAGCCAATGTTTTCTGTTGTTATCTGCTGGCATCACTGGCACTGGATTCAAGAAGCCTCTTAAACAAGAAGAATCGCCACTTAGTGCACCATTGTTGCTACGGTAAGCAAATGAAAGCAAGACATACTCAGACATGCTCAGTCTTTCATTATGGACTCAGAGGAGGTGATCTGGCCGTCCAAAATAGTGTGTTAAGTTGTTCTGCTGTCCAGTCACCACTTGCAGCAGAGCATGAGTCTCCCTGAGAATGTAGCTCTTTGTATGTATCACATCTGTGACAAGAAGTGACCAAGAAAATGAAACATAAGTTGATAGGAGTATTCTATCCTCGCCTCAGTTCATGTTTCTCTGTCCGTACAGAAAGCAGCTATTTGACCTTGGGGCTTGGCGCCCTGTTGTACGACAATAAACTGGCATCTGTTTCCTTTTACTCTTAGATGACCTTCTTCTTACTTCTGAATATGCATACTGGAAGGTTGTATACAATCTCTCCTTCAGATAATGATATGAATAAACATGCTTTGTGTCGGAGTAAACCTTATCTGACTGAGGCCTTAAGAAGCCTTCACCTCTGCAAGAAAGTTATGTCTTTCTGGTGGAATGTTTGATTACAGGCTTATAAAGGAGCAGTATGGGGGAAAGATTTTCAGAGAGGGTTTGGGCAGAAGCTGTGTCACTGTGGTGTCTCGTCGGACAAACATGGCTAATTCCGATTTAAGGGTAATTACTTCTTAGCTTAATAAACATACAAATCACGACACACCGTTTATTTTCAGGTTCATTTGATTCAGATTGTTGAGCTGAGCTGTTTGCTGTGGAAAGGCGAGAAACACTCATCCGTGTCCAGAGTTCCTAAAATAGGCTCTAATAGTGCCGAGGCGTTATTCATGTGTGAGAGAGAGTTTCTTAATCCCTCTCAAGTTTAAACTTTTGCCACTTTCTATGGGTTTATTGCTTTAGTGCCAGAAATAGACATATGACATAGACTTGGCAAGCAGAGGAAAATTGAGGCACGTCTGCTCTGACACTGCCACACGTCTGGGCTGTAACTTTTAAGCAACATAACATAAAGTGAGATATAAACTAACATGCAAGTTCATTTCTGGAGTCTGGAACCTCGGCCATATTATAAAATAAACTATCAGAAGATAAGCTGAGATAATATTTCCGATCCATTCAGTCATTTAGCAAATTTCACCTATAACAACACGGACAAACTACACGGATAAGTTGCACATTTGTCTCATAGAGGGTATAAAGGAATTAAACTATACAGCCATGCCAGCAGCTATTTGATCCTTTTCCTACATGCTACTATGCTGACAGTGCTAACATGCTGATATCGAAGATATGAACCAGAACATTTCCTGGAGTTCCTTAAGGATCCCCAAAGTTATCAGGATTCATTTCGGGAACAAAGTAGTTGATTGACCAACAGACAGATTAAGGCCATCTGTAATGAAATGCCGTAAGAATCCATACAAATCTTTATACGTTTTTAGCTCATACTTTTCCTGTACATCCTAAGTGCGTTTGGGAACTGTCTGATCCTGGGTTAATCATTCCTATAAGGCAGTACTGTTCCTTTATATTTACAGTAATGAAGGATTTATTCCAGGCAGAAGCCGATCAAAAACACATACTCATTAACCAAATCTCTATCATCCCTAATACGCCCCCTCCTATCTCACCACACCAGATAGACACATTAAGGGCTTGATCACAGAAACAGCTGTGTGAAGCTGAAGGGTCCGGATGGGAACATGGGAGACAGCTGCTGAGAGATCTTTAAAACGTAATTCCCCAGAAAACAGGTCAGCAGAGGGTTTCAGTGACGACATTAACCTCCCTCACCACCAAACAAACTATCTGTCCTCCCACACAAAGGGCAAGCATTCAAATGGGGGGAAAAGCCAAAGAAAAGTGATTTCCTGTCAAAAAAGTGGTGCACATATTTATCTGAGCTTCAATCCGGAGAAAATGTTTTCCTCAGTTGTAAGCTGCGCAACATTTGTCTCCTGTATCAAATTATTATTTGGCAATAAAACAAGATGAAGAAATCAGCAGAAGCACATCTGGAACTCAAAATCAAAAGAAACCACAGTGGAAACATTTTCCTTTTATTTGATACCAGTTTGACTTTTATATGGATATGGTTGTTTTCACTTATTCATCCTTCACAGTTTAATCCAGATGGCACATCCAATCTGTTACTTTTATTTGTTAACATGCTCAGATTCTTTAAATCAGATGACATGAATGAGCACAGGAGGTGACAGTGGGGGTGGCGCAAACAGCAATACCATCAAGACGTTTTTTTATATGTATAAAATTCAGACTGTCAAGGCAAAAAAAAAGCACATTTACATCCGTTGTTTAAAATAACAAAGCTTGGCAAAACATCAACTATTTAAATATGTAAGAAAGATGAGCCCTCCTGACTGATATCAAAAAGTGAGTCAAACCGTCTTTACAAATTATTAATCTAATAGTATAGAGTAACTTGGAAATACTGCATCAATGTCTTACGTTTAAAGAAAGAAAGTCAATCAAATAATTTGAAAAATGCTATAATTGTATTGCATTATAAATCCTACATAATTGGCTTTCAAAATAAAAAAAATGCAGTAATTTAATCGGATTAAAACAAATGCAAAAGATGTGTTTGCATCAACTGTTTGACCCACTTTAGATTGATTTGTGTCAGCATGAGCCCAGGTGAAGATATGATATAAAAACTTTGAACAATAACGATCTCCACATCGTGTTAAACCCACGACAAATATTAGAAGACTTCACCATCATGACATGAAGGAAGGCTACGGAACGGATCGATGTGCACGAACACAGTGGCCCTTCTCATAGTGATAATCACGTCAGAGATCAGCTGGTAATATGGCTGCGACTGGAATCAAACATGTGACCTTTCCAGGAACAGACTCGAACAAATTGGTCTCCCTGCGGTCACACATACCGCAGATTCAGAAGTGTGTACAATACAATGGACAATACTGCCATTTCTATCTGCCGTTCAACTTTAGTTTCACAGACTCCATGACAGCTTTAAAGAAACACTTTGAAACAAATATGAAGCAACAGCAAGCAGCCAGTTAAATATCGTTATCACTGTAACTTTGTTTTAAACGTAATCCCTACAATCCGAAGGATCGATCATGGCTCCCAATGTGGCTATGAGCTTGGCGGTTATTAAACCGCCAAGCTCATAGCCACATTGGGAGATTTATTGCAAAAAACCACAACTGTGAAATTGTAAATCTAATCTGTGTTGATATTTTCTTGTGTATTTTTTTAAGTTGTGATCTTGTTTTAATGTAAATTCTAAGTAAAACTAGCAGTTTCCCACTGTTTCCAATTTTCAATAAGCTAAGCTAACTGGCTGCTAGCTCCATGTTTGACATACAGAAGTGGTGTAAATCTTCTCAGCAAAAAAGCGTAACAGTACCTTCCCAATGCAACAATAAGTGATAAAACACAACCATAAAACTGTCAAGAACATAGTGGCGTGTTCAGCCTCTTGATAAGGAACCTTCAGTTGGAATGTAAATAAATGATATTCTGCCCTCATTGCGATGGTGAGATTGCTCTTATAAGTTCCTCCATGCAAAATCAACAAAATAAAGCGTTTCAAACATAGACCTTCAAGTCACAGATTCAACTCCCTTTTGATAAGAAAACTCAGAGGATGGAATAAAGGCCCGAATCAGACAGTAATGGGAATAGATACAAAAACATGTGTACAAAAAGCACGTACACATTTAAAAATCCTCATGCTCGATATACAATTCACACTCTGTCCAGTGTCACTCATTCACAATACTGGGCAGGAGAGAGAAAACAGAAAGGTGCAAATAAGAAACATAGCTAAAAGTGTTGATCAAGTTTTGAACCACATGCTGCGTTTGGACCCGAATGTTTTAAAAAAAAACTTGGTCCAGCAGTTTGTAGTTCTTCTAAGTTATTCAATATCAACGATTGATCCGCAGGGCCAAAATAAAACAATAAAACATTTAAGAGCATGGTCAGCTTTGGAGATATCCCTTGTTTAGATGATCCTTTATGCCTTAATATGTCTCAAAAGGCACTGGACCTTTTACAGCTTAACAGAGGAGTCACAGCATCAATCACTAAACTATTAACATGTTCCGTACCTTGAGTCTTAAGGAGTATTTTCAAGGATAGTGGGACACTCCATGCACTGTCCATGCAGAGTGATCCTGTGTTGAAGTATCGACAATATGGCACCGTCACATTTATCACTCTTAAAGACATTTCATATCACATTTTCCATCTGCAAGGCCTGCAAGTACAAAAAACAACAACGATTGTGTTCGTAGTGTTAGCTTCTACATCAGCGAGTTGTTTTTCCCTTGTGCACAAACAAATACAAATCACAACTATAAAAGATGCACAGGACAGAGGCTCAGTTCTCCCTGCACCCGGACGCAACAATTATAATAACTGCACGAACAAGTCAGCCACTTACTGTAAATGCCACTTTGTGAGATTGAGTCTTTTTCTGTCACTTCCTCTCTTTATATCAGTGTCTCTCCATTTGAGAGAACAAGGACAGTGTCAGAGTGGGCATCAAAGAGAGCTCTGTTCCCTTGGCAAGTATAGTACAGATTCCAAGATGACTCAGATTTTCTTCAAACCAAGGAGCCTTCTTGAGAGTGAATTGTACCATAAAGTCAGTGAGGATGTCCGCTTCCAGGTGAGGTACCTATGTGTGAGGTTAGTTTGCAAAACATGTCTTATTACTACATCTGTCGATTCTCTCTTCTGTCCTGGCCACGGAGGAACCGGAAAAATAGCACAATTCACATTAATCCCAACAATCACAATTTTGTCAAAAACAATAAATGGTTTACTCAATGTCCCTTTCCAGTGAAGTGTTCAAATGCAACTTGGCTAAACATTCTGGGATGTATATTACTTAAGACTCCATTTCTAATGGCTCCTGAACTGACGCTCTATTTGGCACCAGAAAATGCCAATGAAGCGCTTGGTTGAAGTAAAGCAGGGAGAGAAAGATCCTTTCATGCACATACCAGCCAGCTTCCACTCTTCTCTCCCCCCTGCCAGTCCTTGTTTCCCTCCTCCATTACATTTCAGTCCTATTCAAGCTACTAGGTACCCGGATTCCATTATCTCTCCCTTGTTCGCATTTCGCCTGCCTTTCAGTGCCTTTTATTATCCCCCCTGGTCCTCAGCTCCTTCTGTCTCTGTTTGAAAAGACCCAGAGGGGGGGTTTGGTCCAGCTGCCCCATATGTCATTCAGATACATTAGTCAGCACAAAAAAAAAAACTAAAACATCCCCCACCCATCTAACCCCACACCTTACCAGCTGAGGCTTTCCACAACATACCATAAACACACACCATTTCCGAATTGAGAGGAGATATGGCATGTTTGTGTGAATGTGTGCCCCGATGCTGCTGGTTTGGGTGGAGGACTTTGTTATGATAATTAGGGATTAGCTCTGGTGGGGGGCAGCAGGAGTGTGTGTGGAAAGAGTGCAGAGGTTCCTCTGAGGAAATATGCGCACTAACTTCCTACCGCTTTACAATCCTCCTCTGCTTCCTGTAGCCCACTGAACTGACCGCTATCGCTCCATCAGGAGGCTCTAACTCCCTCATTCCTGAGGGGGGCAGCATCCCACTCTCATGCGCAACGTGCCGCTTTTGTGCAGCTGCCAGAGCTGGACAAACTCCTCGGGCATGGCGTGGAACCACTTATAGGGCAGGATGTTGTCGTAGTAGTGGTGGCTGACCGGCTGCTCGTCCAGGCCCACGGAGAAGGGCCAGAACCCGTAGGCCGTCACCTCCTCGCACAGCCCCAGGGCCAGCGAGACCAGGAACAGCCCCGTGGAGAGCCGTTTGGCATGCACCCCGCGCCCTTTCCAGAATTTACCCACCGAGCGCAGGAATTCTGGGTTTGCAAAGAGCATGGTGAGGTTGGAGGAGGTGTCGGCCAGGGCGTAGTAGGCCCGCAACGAGGGGTCAGTGCCGGGCTTCATGGAGAATGCTGGCATGTAGATGTAGCTGGAGCCGTACACCTTCATACTGTCCACGAACGCTTTCCTGGACCACAGGAGGTTCTGAAACCTGAGATAGAGTGATACAGAGGAAGAGTTAGACTTTTTTTGAAATTATTTTTGTATTCAGCTTTTCACAATCATAGACAATACACTATTCTCTGTAAGCCTTCTGTAGTTTACAGTGAAATCACAAATCAAACATACATATTTATCTCCATGTGGAAAACACTCATCTCAGAGGTAATGAGACGGGAACAAATAAAACAATGTCTGGATGGGAAGTCTAAACCGGTGGAATCTCTCGGTGTTAAATATTGTTTGGAGCTATCTAAATGAACACTGGACAATATCTTTGGAAGAATGCTGGATTTGAAATGGTCAGTTTATAATTGTTTCCCTATGTATTATACAGTCATTGTAACATGTCATGCTTGGTTGTCTACGTGTTGTCCTTTGCCTCATTTAACTTTGCATTTTTACTGGACCAGTCTTGTATTAATAACCTGATTGTTTGTTGTTTTATGTACCTTTATTGAAAAAAATCAATAAAATAACAAATTGAAAACATACATATTTGTGGATAATAGAGGCAGGCTCTTCAATCATGCTATAACATACAGAATGAACATAAACACAAACAAGGTTATGGGGGTATACCTGCAGCCTATTATTCTATTTCATAGAAAAAAATACAAATATAAGACATAAGAATCCCTAATAGACAAATGATGGTCGTATTGGTGTAACATATATTATCAATTTTTCCCATCTCGTCAAAAAGATTCCCTGTTGCAGTCTCAAAGCAAGGGTTATCCTTTCCATCTTGAAAATATCATAAACAATGTCAGTCCACTCATCCAAAGTAGCTTCTCCTGGTTTTAACCTCATTCTGGTGATGGCCTTCTTGCTAGAGGAAGCAGGGGGGTCATTTCAGTTCAGGGGCCACATACAGCCACATCTGATCTGAAGTGGGCGAACAGTAAAATCGTAGCATAATAACCAATACCAACTCCAAATTGTTCCCTTAGTTTTAGTGCAAAAAAGTACATTCTGAAAAGGACATCAAAGTTGTCGAAGTTGCAGTTAAGTTATCTGTCATTTTGACACTAAACGTTAAGTCACCCATGACCTGGTTTACTCATCTGCTGCTCCCTCTCTGTCTACAGAGGAAATGAACTTCCTGTTTTCCGCACTGCAGCACAATGGGTGGCGGGCTCGTACCCACTATATTCAGCGCTACATGAGTTTCAGTTTTAAAGTTCAGGGTTAACTCATATGCCTCAGTCAATATAGTTTATTTGACTCTTTAAACCCTAATCATGTTTGTATTTCATAATGCCTTTCTTCATTCTCACATTTGGTGCACTTTGAGCGCTCGCTTTGACTAATGCATATTTGAATGTCATGCCTTCCTGATTTGTAGATTAGCGCCACATAAAGTTTGAATTACAGTAAACCATAACCAATAGCTCACAATATACGCATCATCACCCTCAGCCATGCCTGCTCAAACCATGCATGCACTTTGTTCTGATAAGTGATGAATGTTTTCCTGAGAGGACAATGTTTTTATGATCACCTCTTCTCTACAATGCTGGGGTTGGCAGTGACCATGTGCGTCTTGGTTCCCACATCCTCCACATAATCCTTTGAAAGCGGCGGCAGGTTGCACCTGAGTGAACAAAACACAGCCAGTTTATTATTCATTTTATTTTTGTAAACACTCCACGTACAAAATGCACTGACAGAATAAACAATTACAGGATTCCTCGAGGTCATTTCCGTGATTATCTGATCTGATTACGCTATCAAACAGACAGGTTCCATTGTAGTGTGTGTGTGTGTGTGTGTGTGTGTGTGTGTGTGTGTGTGTGTGTGTGTGTGTGTTTACAGCAGGTCAAAGATACTTTAAGAGGTTAAAGGGGGGTAATGGGAGCTATTATAATTCAACTAAAAGCGAGAACAGCTAAAGAGACATTAGATGTGGACTAGAGCTGTAAGTATTTGGCAATCTGTAGATTTTTTTCTTGATTAATCTTATAAATAAAATCTATTATAGAAATATAAAATAGTAGAAAAACAGTGCAATATGTCAAGCAGCGTATCCCACAACCCCCAAAATGTCTCGTTTTTCCAAAAATCTAATATATTCAGTTTAAGGTCATTGGGAAATGATGACTTCAGACTGAAATAATGTCTTTCTTAAAAAGATTTGATTCTAAACTCTAAAGTGGAATGACATTGCTTAGAAGTGGTTAAACAACAACGCCTGCAGAATGGTTTCAATCTTAATTAACTGGAGTGACAATGTCCCATATTTAACACCAAATATAACGTTCCCTTATGTTCTCTCTTTCACCAAGAAACAGCTGCAGCAACAATGTGAATATAAATCCACAAGGACTAACTAAAGTTCATTTTGTGTTTGCAAGATGTGTTTAGTTCTATTTCGTCCCTACTGACCGCCAGAGGCGGTGCTTTAGCACTGGGGATGTGTCCATCGCGCGCATGCGCAGCTCGAGTACCAATACCAATAAAGTCACCTGTGACCCACGTGACACCGGCTATATCAGCCGGTGTCGTCAGTGGATCTGTTGCCTTTCATCTTCTCGCTGTGCGAGAGTACCTTGGCTACATTTTTTGTAGCCTACAGCGTTCGTTCGGTTGGAATATTTGTTAAGGATTCTCTGCAAACAGCTGGCTGCGTGCAGCTTCGCGACTCATCCAGTCGGGGGCGCGGGTTTACCCGTCCTCCAGGAGCTGTGGCTGGCTGCGCAGAGACTTCGTTCGGACAGGTTGGTGTCGGCTTGGTTGGTGATGGCAGTGTTTTCGCTCCCTCTCCCAACCTAGTTGTCCCGTTACTGTCTGTTTTGCTTTTTGGGCTTCAACTTTTATGGTGACGGAGGTGTTTCCGCTCCCTCTCCCAGGAGTTGCCCTTGCTGTGCTTTTGTACTTATTCTGCGAACTTCATTAGCATTGAGCTAGTTAGCAGTAGCGCTGCAGCCACTCGGCTGACGCCGTGTTAAGCACCGGAGTTTCCCGTGCTGTTTTTTCTTTAAAAGCCAGTTTCCGGTCTTAGCTTGTGTAAAGCTTCTTGATTTGGGGTGTAGCTACATCCCCTTTGTTTGTTCGGCGAGTAGCAGCACCGCTCTACTCTTCCCGTTCAGCAGGTAGGCATTCGTCTTTAATTTAGCCAGTGAAGGCAGTGTTCTCGCCCCCGCTCCTGGTAGACGCTAAACTGCCTTGTTTATTCCTTTAAGCAGGTAGCTGGTGAAGGCTGTGCTCTCGCACCCGCTCCCGGTTACGCTGAATCTGGCATTCGTGTTTAATTTAACCAGTGAAGGCAGTGTTCTCGCCCCCGCTCCTGGTAGACGCTAAACTGCCTTGTTTATTCCTTTAAGCAGGTAGCTGGTGAAGGCTGTGCTCTCGCACCCGCTCCCGGTTACGCTGCATCTGGCACTCGTGTTTAATTTAACCAGTGAAGGCAGTGTTCTCGCCCCCGCTCCTGGTAGACGCTAAACGGCCTCGTTTATTCCGTTGAGCAGGTAGCTGGTGAAGGCTGTGTTCCCGTACCCGCTCCCGGTTACGCTGCATCGGGCATTTGTCTTAAATTAACCAGTGAAGGCAGTGTTCTCGCCCCCGCTCCTGGTAGACGCTAAACTGCCTCGTTTATTCCGTTGAGCAGGTAGCTGGTGAAGGCTGTGTTCCCGCACCCGCTCCCGGTTATGCTGCATCTGGCATTTGTCTTAAATTAACCAGTGAAGGCAGTGTTCTCGCCCCCACTCCTGGTAAACGCTAAATTGCCCGGTTCCCGTTAAGCAGGTAGCTGGTGAAGGCTGTGTTCCCGCACCCGCTCCCGGTTACGCTGCATCTGGCACTCGCCTCTAGCTCAACCAGTGAAGGCAGTGTTCTCGCCCCCGCTCCTGGTAAACTGCCTTATTTATTAACCCAGCTAGGTGAAGTCAGTGCTCTCGCTCCCGCTCCCTCTGCCGGTAACGTGGGTATACTTACATCCCTCTTTTGGCGAGTAGCGGCGCGGCTCTACTCTTTCTGTGAAGCAGGTAGCTGGTGAAGGCTGTGTTCCCGCACCCGCTCCCGGCTACGCTGCGTCTGGCTACCTACAGAATGGCTCATGCATGTAGCGCCTGTATGGCTTCTCTTGAGCCCGAGGACGGCCATGACCGCTGCCCCTCTTGCCTCGGCCTCGAGCATCTAAGGGAAACTCTCACGGTAGGGGCCTGCATGAACTGTAGCTGCATGCCCCGGGCACTCAGAATGGCTAGACTCACGGAGGTGGAACAGCTGGCGGCAGCCAACGGACACCTCTCTTGGTCACATCCTCCTCCAGATCAGTTCGGCCGTCCCCGGCGACCTGAGGGAGCGATGGCCATGGGTGCACCCCCCAATAGGAGGACTAGAAACAGGCTGTCCTCTAAAGTGGATCAGCTGGCTACCGACATGGACACAATGAAGTCGCTCCTCTTGGCCCTTCAGCCAGGGCCCGGTATAGGTGCTGCTAGTGTGCCGCCTGCCCCTCCTTCGGTTGCCGCCCCTCCTTCGGTTGCCGCACCTCTGTATGAGGATGCCTTGTCGCTAGCGGCTTCGGCTAACCTCTTCAATGAAGAGACGGAGGACGAGGTCCCGCTCGAGGAGGCTTCCCTCTCCTCTGCTCAGGGGTCTCGGCAGGGCGTGGATGACGACTCCATGGCGGCCATTATTCGTACGGCCCTGGCGCACCTGCAGATTCCGGTTCCGCAGGCCGACTTAGTTCAGGCTAGTGCCTTCTTCAGGCGTAGCCCAGCCCCTGTCCCCCTCACCGTTCCTCCTTCAGAGGAGTACCTGAGGGAGCTCCAGGCATGCTGGAGGAACACCAGGGCCCTCGGCCACGCTGGCTCCGATGCCCGGACCTTGGCTGCCATGCAGGACCCGGCGAGGGTGGGGCTGGGTGGCATGCCACCCATTGAGCCTGCCATCGCCTCCCTGATTCTGGCTCCTGACAAGGCTCTAAGGCCTGTGGTCAGGTGCCCTCAGCCTCAGTGCAGGGTCACAGATGGGCTGCTCTGTAGGGCCTACGACGCATCAGCACGCATGGGTCATATCGGGAACTCCCTCTCCCATCTAATGCTGGCCGTCTCCGCCTCGCTGCAGCAGGCTCCGGCCGAGCCTTCTTTGCTGGGCCTCAGTGATGCATCACTGCAGGCCTTTGCCCTAATGACGAGGGAATTGGGACGAGTTATGTCCTTTCTGGTACAGACTCGTCGCCAGGTTTGGCTGGCTCAGTCACCACTGACGGAGACATGTAGGAGAGTCCTCCGTAGCGTACCAGTCGTGCCAGGGGAGCTGTTTGGGTCAGCTGCCCTGGAGGCGCTGGAGCGCGCTGCCCAAGCTAGGCAGACCAGGCAGCAGCTCTCGGGTCTTCGCAGACCCGTGGCCACTCCCAGCAGGCCCAGGGGCCGCTCTAGCAGCCGCACTCAGCCACCGGCTTACAGGGGTGGTCTGCAGAGGTCCCAGCGGCCCACTCAACCGGCCGATGGCTTTCGTGCCCCAGGTCGCCTGGCTTCCAGGCGGCCTCGTGCTTCAGAGCCTTACCGGCGCCCCCCAGGGGGCCCCAGGGGCCGGGGGGCTAGGCCCTGAAGTCTCGAGGCCGGTTGTCGGCTGTTTTTCCCAGCAGCAGCTCAGCTACTGGGCTGCCTGTACTTCCGACCCTTGGGTGATTTCCACCCTAACCCAGGGCTACGAATTGCAGTTCCGACGCCGGCCCCTAGCCTTCGGCCGGGTCAGTATGACAGTTGTCAACGACCCGGCGAAGGCCTTAGCTCTGGCCCAAGAGTTGTCCGTCCTCTTGGCCAAGGGCGCAATCGAGCCAGTGGACCCCCTGCTTCAGGGCGGGGGGTTCTACTCGGCGTACTTTCTTGTGAGCAAGAAAGTTGGCGGATTCCGTCCAGTTCTGCACCTCAGAGGAGTCAACAGATTCTTGAGGGTACTACCCTTCCATATGCTAACCACAGCAGACACCCTTCGTGTTGTCACACAGGGGGAGTGGTTCACAACCGTGGACTTGAAGGACGCCTACTTCCACGTGCCAATTGCATCCCATCACCGGAAGTTCTTGAGGTTCGCCTTTCAGGGCCGACATTATCAGTTCCGGGTGCTTCCCTTTGGTCTCTCCCTCTCTCCAAGGGTGTTCACCAGGGTTGTAGCGGCAGCGCTCGCTCCCCTGCAGGCACAGGGCATGAAGGTCCTGCCATATCTGGACGACTGGCTAGTTTGCGCGCCGTCCCGGGCCCAAGTGGCCCAGGATACGGCGCACCTCTCATCCCATGTAGCCCGGTTGGGCCTAACAGTGAACGCCGGGAAGAGTTGCCTGGACCCTTCCCAACAGGTCACTTACCTGGGGATGGTCCTAGACTCGGTCGCCATGAGGGCCTACTTGACACCTCGTCGTGTGGACGACATTTCCCACCATCTTCGCATCTTCAGACTGGGCAAGAGGGTGCCTTACATCCAGTTCCTCCGGCTCTTAGGCAGACTGACAGCTGCCTCAGCCGTTGTGCCCTTGGGCATGCTATCACTGCGCCCCATGCAGATGTGGCTGAACAACTTTCGCTTGGACGCCAAACGGCACAGGCACAAGAGAGTCAGGGTGTCTCAGCGGTGCCTCCACTCTCTGTCCCGCTGGAGGGACAGGGCCTATCTTCTGATGGGTGTGCCTATGGGCGCCATCCCATCCCGCCGGGAGACGGTCACTGTGGATGCATGTCTCTCGGGGTGGGGTGCGGTGTGGCAGGGCAGGACTGTGCAGGGGCAGTGGTCTGCCCAGGAAGGTGCACACCACATCAATGTGCTGGAGCTGCGGGCTGTGTTGCTCGCACTCATGCACTTTTTACCCCAACTGGCGGGCAGGCATGTGCTCATTCGTTCGGACAACATGTCCGCCGTTGCCCAAATCAACCACCAGGGGGGCACCAGGTCCACACAGCTGCTCCGTGTTTCACAGAGCCTCTTGCCTTGGGCGCTCCCCCGCCTCGCCAGTCTGCAGGCAGTCTTTCTGCCAGGAGACCTGAATCAGGTCGCAGATTTCCTCTCACGGCGCAAGCCTCCACCGGGGGAGTGGAGGCTTCACCCAGAGGTGGTGGAGACAATTTGGAGCCTTTTCGGCAGGGCCGAGGTGGACCTCTTTGCCTCAGAAGAGTCGAGGCACTGCCCCCTCTGGTTCTCCTGGACGGAGGTGACCAGCCCGTTGGGTCAGGATGCCCTGGCGCACGACTGGCCGGACACTCTCCTGTATGCCTTCCCGCCGCTGCCTCTGATACTGCAGACGCTTCAGAGGGTCCTTACTCAGGGGCACAGGCTCCTTCTGGTCGCCCCCCGCTGGCCGGGGAGAGTCTGGTTCCCACTGCTGCGCAGTCTCTGCTGCAGCCCACCTTGGCGTCTCCCCGACAAGAAGGACCTTCTGTCACAGCTCAAGGGTCAGATCTGGCGTCCCGACTCTCACCGCCTTCAGCTCTGGGTTTGGCCTCTGCAGGGCCCAACCCACTGTTGAGCGGTGTCACGGCATCAGTCAGGGAAACTATCCTGAATGCCAGAGCTCCATCCACTCGGGCACAATATGAGTGCAAATGGAAGCTCTTCTCCCACTGGTGTGTGAGTAAGGCTGAGAATCCGGGGCATTGCTCCGTGGCCACCATTTTGGAGTTCCTGCAGTCCCTTCTGGAGAGTGGACGTTCTCACTCCACTTTGAAGGTGTATATGGCTGCGATCTCTGCCCGACATGTCGGAGTCGATGGCGCCACAGTGGGGCGCCACAGGTTGGTGTCCCTCTTTCTAAGAGGGGCTCTACGGCAGCGTCCCCCTAGCACCCCAAGGGCCCCGGCTTGGGACCTGCCCCTAGTGCTGAATGCCCTATCATCTCCTCCCTTCGAGCCCCTGGCCCAGGTCGGGCTTAAGTGGCTGTCCCTGAAGGCAGCATTTCTGCTTGCCGTAACCTCAGGGAAGCGAGTCGGAGAGCTTCATGCCCTCTCCGTAAGCAGTAAATGCCTGAGGTGGAACTCCGATGACTCGGGCGTTACCCTCTGGCCGAATGTGGCGTTCCTGCCCAAGGTGCTTCCACTAGCCCACTCCAATCGGCCTATCCAGCTGGCACGCTTTAACATTCCACAGGAGAGCGGCACACCTGAGTTGCTGTGCCCTGTGCGTGCCCTGAGGGCGTATATTGATGCTACAGCCGGTATACGGCAGTCAGAGCAGCTCTTCGTTTGCCATGGCGGCACTAAGAAGGGTCGTGCTCTCTCTAAGCAACGGCTGTCCCACTGGGTGGTTGATACCATCACACATGCCTATGGGGCCAGTGGCCGCCCCCTGCCATCAGGGGTGAGATGCCACTCTACAAGAAGCATCTCAACATCGTGGGCTGCCCTAAGAGGGGTGCCCCTGGAGACCATCTGTGCCGCGGCATCATGGGCGTCTTCTGGCACATTCTCCAGGTTCTACCGAGTCAATGTCGCCACTCCTCACCCTCTGGGTGTGGTCCTGTTGCCAAGCTCCGCTGCTTCCAGCTAGGTGAGTAAGTGCTTGGATTCTTCATGACATGGTTGGTATAGGTCATCCAGTGCTAAAGCACCGCCTCTGGCGGTCAGTAGGGACGAAATAGAACGATAGTTACGGCTGTAACTACGGTTCTATGAGTCCCGGATGACCGCCAGAGTATCCTGTCACTCAGAATTCTTGTGTGCTCGCGAGAAGATTCTGGGAACAGATCCACTGACGACACCGGCTGATATAGCCGGTGTCACGTGGGTCACAGGTGACTTTGTTGGTATTGGTACTCGAGCTGCGCATGCGCGCGATGGACACATCCCCAGTGCTAAAGCACCGCCTCTGGCGGTCATCCGGGACTCATAGAACCGTAGTTACAGCCGTAACTATCGTTTTTGAGTATTTGAAAATAATGAAATAATGACCGCCTGCTGATTATCACATCAGAGCTGTTTATATCAGCAGATGGAGGACATGAAGGACAGCTGGAGAGGATACTTTTGAGAATGATGAACATATCCATTGTGTCCTTGCCATAGTGTTTCCTCTATCTGGGTTTATCTGCCCTGCTTTGCTTGAGTTTAGATTATCTCAGTAACAGTTGTGCTATCTTTTCCTTAAGCCCCGAATAGACTGTTGTGTTCATAGATGGATTTGTACTTACATTACTTTGGGTATATTGTAAATATTTATCTGTTATCTCAACAAAGCAATTTTTTACGGGAAATTGCAGGACATACATTCTACTGTCTATTTTAGGACAAACCCACTCGTACTTTGTAACACAGAGACACGTACTCAGAGAAGGGGTTTGTTACATTACAGTATGAGTGGGCTTTTTGGGCTGGTTGCAATCACGACCAATCACATCACTTCCTCTGATGTACTGACAGTTTGGTTATGGAACAAAGAGTGACAGTTTTGAGGAAACCTTTTCTTAAATTTCACGCAACAGTGAATTTGTTTTGAATACCACATTTTTGTCTTGGAATTTAACAAGCACTGTCAGTTTGACCAGTGAATATCAAAAGGTCTCATTGAGCAGTTGTACACAGGTGTTATTTGGAATCAGTGACCGACATACTAGGTGCAGTCAAAGCTGCCCGTTTGAATATTACTGCATATATTTTGCATCTTGTGCATGGAGACATTTCTATGCAACTATATTGTGAATCAACAGGTTTAACCACCCTTTAAATTCATTGATTGATATAAAAACCCATTGTTATATTAATCTTGGACCTAGTCATAGTAACTAGGTATGTTATTAAATGACAGTTTTCAGAGCCAAGAGGCTAATTGTCTCTTTGCTAATTATTCACTTAAAGTGAGCTGACAAAGAGGATGTTTAGATTATAATAGAGTTAGAGGGAAAACATTGAGGTTTGTGTGTTAGTTAATGTAAAGAAATGTATGTGCGTTCATGTGCAGACGTGTGTATATATAGTTTGTTAATTGGATAATTCATATCCTGCAAGACTCCTAAAGACGTGAGATAATGACCTTTCGACATCTGGAACATGTCCAAGTTTAGGAGAACTGACAATGTGTGTGCGTTAAACATGTTTAGGGAACATGTTTGTGTGTCATTTAGAAAACATATATCTGCCCTGTGTTTCTTGTATTTGCTGGGAGCATTGCTGAATGAGCAGGTCATGTTTTCCCATTTGGTGTTGCGCAACTAAATAATAATGATTAATTTCAACTATGTCTGTGTTTTATTTATTCCTCTCTGTCTCATTCTTTCCTGTTGTGAGTGCTGGATTGCCACACCACCATTATCAGATGACCCCTGTAGTGCTAGTGTTTAGAGACACCCTGTTCAAAATGCAATATCTGATCTGTCGATTTCAATCTTTTTACAGGATCACCCATGAAGATGTGTATCATGCTCTTAAAGGGTCTTCTGTTTGAGCTGGAATCCGCACGACGTCATGCACTTTTTCCTCACGCTCAAGGTCTACATTTCAAAACATTAGCTCTCTCTTTAATCCGTTCTGCTTCAACAGTCTGGATCAGTTGTCACGTCCTCAGAAGGAATACCAGCTCCATCAGAGGGGATTTCTTCCTTAATCAAAACCCATATAAAATCTCTTTGGTCACTAGTTTTTCAAAGAAAAACATATTTATCTCATATTAAAAATATGTCCCAATCCAGCAACCAGCATCTCGTTTTCAATGAGTGCTCTCCGGATCTGTTCTGCTTTATGCCTCTCTGCTGCCTCTCCTCTTCCTCCCTCGTCTCAGTGTGTCCCTATTTCTGCTTACTCACGTCTAACCTCCTTTTCCTCCTCCCTTTGCTGTGTCCTATTTTGCTTTCCAGGCCTTTCTCTCTCGGTTACAGTCGGCACCAGCTTTCATTATCACCATGGGCTGAGGGCTCATGGGCACGGCACACTCACATTTGAGCAGTGAAGCAGTCATATCGTTTGACCAGTGAGGACTAATCTTTTTAGATTAGCTTTTTATTAGCAACCCCCCACTTTAAATGTTCTTTTAGTATTTATTCTTTACCTACCTTTATATTATGTTATAGGTCTTAAAGGTTATTATCTTATTTTATTGATCTAACATGCTTCAATAGCAATATTTATTTTTACAATGGTCTTTTTTATTTCTTAATCGTTTAACCTTTATTATAATTATGGCATTTTTATTACTATTATTTTTTAAATTGTATTTCTGTTGTACCTACGTGTTCACTTTGTTTTATGGGGTTTTATATTTTATATTGTTGCATCGATTCAGTTGTCTTGTGTCTTATCTGTCAGAGAGAAACCATTATTTATTTTATTTGTATTATCATACATTTTACCTCCTTGTGTCTATTAACCTAATCAAATGTTATATTTTGCTGCATGTACCTGTAAAGTTCTTAACAAATAATCTGAGGGGAATTTCTTGTTGTCTATTTTTAACTTGTGATGTGTCATTTTGTAAAGCATGTGTTGTATGAAAAGTGCTATATAAATAAAGCTTTATTATTATTATATACAATGCAGACTCATGCACTACCAGCCCCTTTGAGTCCCCTGGTCTCTCACCGCAGGACGAAGTCGGCCTGGTCGATGTTTCGTCCACATTTGCTGTTCCGGAGAATGCCACCATTGCCCACCACGGCGCACTTCTTCAGGGGCAGCTGCAGGGGGTTTTCCTGCGCAGAGGGAAACATGCAGCTCTGTTAGCACACACAAAGAAACAGATATTCATTTTCACTCAACCTAGAAACCAAAATGGAGGCAGGTGCATGAGTGACCTTGGGTTCAGGAAAGAAAATGACCTTCTAATTTCCCTTAAGAGACTAAAGTGCTGAAGGACAAACAAGCCTGGATATATGAGTGAGGAAGTGGACAAGTAGAGGTCATAAAACTTCATAAATCAGGTTCTGTCATGGCTTTTGCGTCAAGAGCAAAGTCTATATTATACATAGAATTATTGAATCAAAAATCTTAAACAAACCTAGATGAATCAGCAAAATACAAGGATTAAATACCCAGCAAACACTTTTTTTCTAATGCCTGTAAACAGAAAACGTTCTGGAACTGCAAAGTGCATCAGGCCAATAACTATAACATGTTAATGTGATCTTTGAATGTAATGTACCCACATTATTTCTCAGGGAAAACAAATGTCAAAGACCAAAAAACAAAATATGATTATATAATCTCTGCTCCTACTCTTCCATTTTAATCAAATTTGTGTTCTGGTAAATGTATTTTCTTTTGTCTCTGCACAGTGTTTTTAAAAGTACCCACAAATCCCTCAGATAAACTCAAGAACCCCTTCATACCATATTTTAAACGTGAACAAAGTGGATATTTTTACAATATTTGCAATAAAAGTAATCCGTCAATGTTTTAGCTAGCTATTTGGAACTGTTGATTCATTTTAAAGATAGTTATTGTAACCGTTTTTCCATTGATTTTAGCTAACTATCTTGAGCTGTTACAAATGTGAATATATAGTGTTTTAATCAATTTGTATTTTCTGTATACAGTAGAGCTACTCCACCATCTCTCCACTCTCTACTACACCCTAGCCACTGCAGAAGTAACTCCGGGGGTGGAAATCACAGCAGTCCTATCATCATCTAAATGAAAGCCTTGGATATATTTGTATTAAAACTGTTCCTGAGAACGCTGAAATACCAAGCTCCACGAGGCATGGGCCAAAAATGTCCCTTCTCTTTGACATGGCTGTATTAAAGTCAAAGGCATGGATTAAGAGGGACGGCGGAAACAATTGTGCTCATTATTCCCCTCGGAGTGCACACACTTGAGAATACACGCACACATAAACGCACACGCACAACCCTCCGCGCCTCGGGGGCTCTTTTAGACCGTGACAGGGGGGGTGAGTCAGAGGACAATACAATCACAATTCTTGTTTTGTCTCACCGACAAGGGAAAAATATTCCAAACAAAACTGGAACCAGATACTGTTTGACTTCCCACAGAGAAGAGGATCATTCATGAGCTTGCAAATGTGTTATCATGATATAAAGGAATAATTCATCAGAAACTTTTAGGATACTGTAGAGATACGAATAGATAATCTGCTGTACAGTGGAGAGAACTCTGTGTATGGACGCTCTGTTTGAGCCGTTTGAATAACCAGTATTTAACTGTCAAAGCCTTAATTGGCACATTCCCTGGCAGATGCCCATACTGGAGCTGCTGCCAGCTTGGTGAAGTGTGGCTGGTTGTCTGTGTTCAAACCCGCAATTACAGCACTGGTAGTTGAGAGGGATGAGAATATGTGTGTGTGTGTGTGTGTGTGTGTGTGTGTGTGTGTGTGTGTCTGTGTGTCTGTGTGTGGGTGAGCTTGTGCTCTGTGCTTCCTGCCTAACTAGTAGTTACGTTCCTTCAGAGAAACACACATGCACCTGATCACTTTATAGGCTTGTACTGTACAGAAAGTGCAACAAAAAAGAATCATTGCAAGTGTTAGACTCACACAAACACAAAGTTGTACAATGTAGCAGTCACCATGACCTGAGGCAGGGTGAGAGGGCGGAGTCTGACACAGAAAGAAAACCACCAGCTACATCCTGGTGACAGTTATAGATGTAACATAAAAAGACCACAAAGTGTAAAGATTAATATCACTCAAGGAAGACAAGTGATGTCATGGATATAATGCCATGAATGGATTTTTATATTAGATTCTAAAGGGTTGGTTCATCCATATCCCAATAAATAGGGTGGCTGCAACACAAATAAGCTCAGGTATTAGAATCATTGATTCTATCACTACAAAAATATACTTTGTTAATAAGGACAATGGTTCTGGGAAGACACATTGATGCACAGTTTTTTCAATGTAAAAAATCCTATTGCTCAACTTAAAATGGAGGGGTCGAATACAGTAAGAGTTAAATATGTTCTTGTGTTAGGGACAACATTTACGAAAATGCAAATTGGTGATAAATGTGTTCCTTTTCTTCTCCTTTACATTTAATTGAACATGTAAGCTCTAATTGAGATAAAACTGTGTATTTCACTTATAAACACATACAAGCAATACAACAACTTTTGGTTTAAAACCTCCTGTGCTCACTGTGGTTCAGCCCGCCCACTCTCGCTTCATATTCTCATTTCTTTATTTATTGGCCCTCAACTCCCCCACCCCTCATGAATTAACATGCCCGGCTCTCGCTTGCAAATTAGGGTCACAAATTCATCGCATTTACCAACCAGGATATTAAACTGCATCAGAAATGGGGATCCAATCTTCTTTATTAGTGAGATGTATTGCTCCTGGATACAAAAACCACGGCAACAGTAATTATGAGCTTCTCATTCTGTCCTGTTTCCCGGCACAAACACCCTACATCCACATGCACACCCACACACAGCATGTAAAGACATGTAAAAATTAGGGCTGTGCGATTATGGCAAAAATCATAATCACGATTTTAACTGGTCAATATTGATATCACGATTATTAAATTATTCATTGAATTTGAAAACATCCATTTATTGAACTTTAACCCCTGTGCCCTCCTCAAATGTTCTTCCTTTCGACACCTTCGTGGCAAAAATGTACAAGCCCCAAAAAACTGCTATTAAATCATCATTCATCAATATTCTTTTCTACTTTTTTTTCTTCATGAATCACTTAAACAACTTCTAACATACTCAAAACTACCAAACATTCCATAATCTTCTGGATTTTAACCCTTTAAATGCCTGTTTCATTATTTGAATTATCTCATTATTTATGACAAACAAACACAAAAATGAAAAAATGTCAATATAATAATTAGTAGAGGGATGGAACTTTGGTGGTTATTAGAGTCTTGGATGTGTCAAAGATTAGCAACAAAATTGATTTGACTGCATTATTATTGTTTACGCAGTATCAGATACTACCTCTGGACACCTTTGTGGCAAAAATGTACACGCCCAAAACAACTGTTATTAAATCATCATACATCAATATCTTTTTCTACTTCTTTTTTCTTTTTTTCATGAATCACTTAAACAACTTCTAACGTACTCAAAACTACCAAACATTCAATCATTTTCAGGATTTTAACCCTTTAAAATGTGTATTTCCCCTGGATACAAAAACCACAGCAACACTTATGAGCTTCTCATTCTGTCCTGTTTCCCAGCACAAACACCCTACATCCACATGCACACCCACACACAGCATGTAAAGACATGTAAAAATGAGGGCTGTGCGATTATGGCAAAAACCATAATCACAATTATTTCTGGTCAATATTGATATCACGATTATTAAATACGATTATTCATTGACTTTGAAAACATCCATTTATTGAACTTTAAAACAAATTAAAATGATAATTTGAACAGTATGAATACCCTGAACTTTAAGTATAATTCAACTGAAAAACCAATACAAAAGTTAAATTATACATTTATATCACATTTAAATAAATAATATCAAAATAATAAATACCAATAAAAGATAAACAAATGTTTTGGAGCGCACTTCCACAACCTACTAAACATATATAAATATGATAACTAATGTCACTCACAACCTGTAATTGATAGGAACCTTGACAGACACAAAAGAAAGTGTGTTGTTCAAAAGGTCTTTACTTTGAATAAGTATAAAGTTCAAACAAAAAATCACTCCTGAGAGGCAAAACATAGCAAAGCAAACTACAAACTAAATAAACTTGACTATGATCACAAAGTACAAAAACTCTTGGCATGACACGCTGGCTCTCTTAATTATGAATATGGTGCAAAATGCGAGAGCGTGTAAAACCTGATGTGAGCACTTGCAGAAAAAAAATCTGAGCTTGTGTGGGCAAAACTTACCGTTGATTGACGCGCCATGTCAGCGGTAGCGACACGAACCGTTAGCGAACCGTTAGCCCCGCAGTCATCCGGTTCGACCTGACTGGCTGTGACTGTGACTGACCCGAGCCTCGTCATTCTGATAGCTCCGCCCCTTCGCTCCAACCCCCCTCCCTCCCCCCACATCTACAGGTGAAAATTACTTTTGCGACACATTTATCGCAAGAAGTGTAGCAAAAGTCAAGACCGCAGATTCGTCGATGTATACTGCCACAGAGCAGATTCGTCAAGTTGTAATGACTGATTTGAGAGGTTGTAATAACCAAGTTGCAGTTGTAATGGAAAATATATTTAAAAAATATGTATTTTTCTGCAAGTGAACATTTCATCACTAAGTTCATTTTTTTTCTACAAGCTACAAAACCTTTTTTCTTCTTCTGTGACTTCAAATTTGGTTCAGTTACGTGGATATTTTTTACAAGTGTAAATTTGGTTCACAGTTACGTGGATATTTTTTACAAGTGTAAATTTGGTTCAGTTACCTGGATATTTTATACAAGTGTACATTTGGATCACAGTTACGTGGATATTTTATGTAAATGTATGCACACAAGCTCAGATTTTTTTTTCTGCAAGTGCTCACATCAGGTTTTACACTCTCGCATTTTGCACCATATCTACCTTCATAAGCTGGCTCTCTTAATGGCACAAGGCACAAGATGAACTGGCACAGGACAAAGGGAGACAGGACTATTTATACATGAGGTATTCATTTTACTAAATCTGTCCACCACCGTCTTATTGGTAGTCCGGTGACAAAGTCCATCGAGATGTGGGACCATGGCCGATGAGGAACAGGAAGTGGCTGCAGCAA